AAACCAGTGAAGGGTTTGATAACGTGTACGCCTGGCAAGACAAACAAACAGGGCTTAATGAAACCTTTATTTTTAAAATACGTTTTTTAATTTAAATGCAAATTGGGTGCTGTGTTATCTGTAGGTCACTTGCACTGACACACTGCTTAATTAGCAGGCATGATTCTCAGGAAGCTAAGGGAGCTAATGACTGGCCCTTTCCTGTGCATTTGTTTTAAGTTAATTAAAATTTTTCAGAGAGGGATCTGTCCTGCTCTGCAGAACAGCTCCTCCCTCTGTTCAGCCAGTCCTTCCCCAAGCCAAACGTGCTGCCAGGGACACTCTCAGCAGGCTGTTAGCTATTAATTGAGTAGGGCACATTTATTCCTGCATCCTGCAGTCCCCTTTGGCAAGTCACAAATCACAGCCCACTGCTCGATAGCTGTGCCTGCCACATCCAGCGTCAGGCAAAACAGCATCAGCCATAAATCTGAGCAGGGACGTGGGAGATTTTTCTAAATGCTGGGGTGAATTACATACATAAGTCTTCAGAAGAGACATTAAACCTAATGTGATACTGAACCTTCAACGTGATGAGCAGAGCAGTTATCCCCTTTGTTACGTGCAAGTTCTATGCAAGAGGATCTCATTTAGAGAAAACCTGCCTCTGCCAGGAGATGAGCTGGAATGAGAGCCATGATCCCTGCCCTCCCAGAGTATCACTGCTCTGGGGATAGAGCCTTAACCCTTCCCTGCCCAGCTCTGCCTGCAGCAACAGCAGCCTCAGGGCCTGTCTGTAAACACTGTTTAACCCGAGTGTCCTGCCCCAAGGCAGATCGATGGCGTCTCAACTGGGAGAAAACGAGATAAACTGTAGCCTTACCCGCTCAATTTCCCTGCGATGGGAACCCCCCCCCGGCCAGCCTCCCAGGCAGAGGAAAAAAAGGCCCTTGATTAAGGACAAGCTCCAAGGTTGCCCCATTCTGCACTTCATCCTGTTCCCATCCTGACCTTCCCCCTCCTCTGCCCACGCTGGGTCACCAAAGCCACCATTGGTGTGATCATCAGCCCCTGTGCTGCCTGTGGGGACACGTGGGCACAGGCACTCGTGGCACCAACCAGCACCATCACTCCTGAGCCTGGAAACCCATGAGAAGGGGCCACAAACTCCTCTGGGAGGGGAGGAGGAGAGGGGAATCTGCAGGCAGGAGGGGAGGGGATTTAATGAAGTATTCAGCATTTTAAACCACTGAAGGATTAAAGCAAGGAAGGGGTAGGATCTTCCATGAAAACTCCATCATTAGTGAAGCCCGAGGGCAGATGCAATTGTTTTCTGGTTTTTTTCCTCTCTTTGATGACCCAGTTTTTAATCTCATCAGCACCAGACTTCAGTGTTAATTTTTAAATATGCTTGGGTAACTGAGAACATTAACTATTCATGATCTTATCTTCAATAGCTGTTGGTTCTCTGACACTGTGCCAGGGCTGAGACTACAGAATGAACCAGGGAGAGCTGAACTTACCAGGAAAGGCAATAGCTGGTTTTTCCTGAGAATCTTGTTGAAACCATCACAGGACAGGGTGGGGTTTCACAACACTTGAGCTCCTGGATAAATCAAGGCTTGCAGGGCAGGCTTGGATCATTCAGGCTGTCTCCCAGCAGTTGGGATGGCTTAAATACGAGAGAGCATCCAAAAGCTGGGAGCTAAGGAATGCTGCAAACACTGTATTCCAAGGAATAAAAAACTTAGGCTGGCTTTCAGGAGGGATGGCAGCTGGAGGGAGGGAGGCACACACCTCTGCAGGCACCTGGGGGCACACTCTCACCAACACATTCCCGCTGGGTCTGCTGCCAGAAAGGAAATCCCCGGAGTGATTCACAGGATCCATGGTCTCCCATCCCCTGGGCTGGAGTCAGCAGCACTGCTGGAGAAGTACCCGGGATTTTGGAAAAGGGTACAGGGCATTTCCTACTGGAAAACTGAAATAAGAATCACAGAGTCAGAGAATGGGTGAGGCTGGAAAGGACCTCTGGATGTCACCTTCTCCAGCCCTCTGCTCAAGCAGGGACACCTGGAGCCAGCTGCCCAGGAACATGTTCAGGCAGCAGTTTTCTGTATTTATTTTTTCCATATGAAAAGTAAATATCATAGAAGAAAAAACGAATTATTTAATCTGAAAACTAACAAAGTTACACTGGGTGCTCAATGTATATAGCATTTTATTGAAGTTATATTACAATAGACAAACATATATTACACATGCTATACAAAATATACATTCTTATGTGAGAAAAATATAAATAAGACACAAGGAAATAGCAACAGGGAACAAGAGCAGTTTTGCTCACGGTGTCTTATGAACCCCCAGTTCCTGTGCTGTGAGTACTTTGGCATTGACTGAAGAAACTGGAAAGCTGTCCAGCAGAAAGGGACCTGGGGGTGCTGAATATGAGCCAGCAGCGTGCCCAGGTGGCCAAGAAGGCCAATGGCATCCTGGCCTGTATTAGAAATAGCATGGCCAGCAGGAGCAGGGAGGTGATCATCCCTCTGCACTCAGCATTGGTGAGGCCACAGCTCGGATACTGTGCCTGATTTTGGGCACCTCAACACAAGAAAGACATTGAGGTGCTGGAGAGCGTTCAGGGAAGGGCAACAAAGCTGGTGAAGGGCTTTGAGAACAAATCTTAGGAAGAACAGCTGAGGGAATTGGAGCTGTTTAGTCTGAGGAAAAGGAGGGTGAGGGGAGATCTCATCACCCACTGCAAATAGCTGAAAGGAGGTGGTAAAGAGGTAGGGGCAAGTAACTGGTGACAGAACAAGAGGAAATGGCCTCAAGCTGCACCAGGGGAGGTTTAGACTAGACATTAGGAATAACTTTTTCACTGAAAGGATTGTCAGACATTGGAAGGATGAAAGAAAAAGCAACAGCCTTTGCTAAATGGTGGTGGGAGACAGAGCAGCAGTAGGAGTGCTGTGGGAAGTCATGGCCCTGCACATGCCAAGAAGCACTTAGCCACAGCAACCTGGGTGAGTATCTGGAGAAGACAGCAAGCAGCCCAGAAGGATGAGACTTGGCTGCTGCTGTAGTTTCATGACCTGACCTTTTTCATCTGGATTTAAACTGACAGTACTGAGTTCCTGCAACAGAGATAACTTTGGATTGAAAAGAAGCACCATGTCTTAAAGACTGTCTGGAAAGGAAAAGCCTGGAGGAAACAAAACCAGAGAGGAATAAACTTAAGATTCTTCTTTTAGTGTGTATGTTAGAAAAACATTTCAGATGTCAGAGCCCCAAAAGAGTTTAACACACCTGTGTTTCTCTCTTACTTTATCCAAAGGTCAAGGACAATTGGCTCCTCTTCCCACTAAAGCTGCTGGCTATCAAAGTAACCACAGTTGCTTTGAGAGCACAGTGAGAACCCTTGATAATATTTGCTCTTTTGCATAGATCTGCCTGTGGGAAAATAATAATTATTCCAGCATTTCCTCTCTCATTTTCTCAAATAATTCAGTCTCAAAAGTTTCAGCTGTGGTTCTGCCTGACTGCATCTGATGCTTCAGTCACACACCCTTCCATCAAGGCATGGATCAATGGGAAGTCATAAAGGTGCATTTTCCCAGAAGAATGAACTTTCCAGTAAGTCCTTATGTCGTTCTTCCTCCTAATTCTGTCAGGCATATTCCACTGTAACTGATACAGTTTGTTTCCTCTGTCTTCAGCAAGTACTGGATTTTTACACTCAGTTGTTCACTGAATATTTGTTTCATTTCTCACCTGTCAGATACATAAACATTTTGGCCATGTGGAGGTCTAAGGAACTATTAGTGTTCAACAGGGCAACCACTTTGCCTGGTATTTTACGACAGAAAAGGACACAAGTGTTTTAAACTACATATGCCTCTTAGCTGTGAAGAGGAACCAGAAAACCCACAGTATAGTTCACAGAGTATTTTTTTTAAAGATAAAAGCTTAGGTAAACTTCTGAAAACAAACCACACAAAACTCTCATCTTACAGCTATTTTACCAGATGACAAGAAGGCAACATTTTATGTACCATTCTTTTTGTTTGCTATTTACAAGAACTTCTGGGGAGGTGGCCTGGAAGACAGGCCAACCCAGCTCAGCACCACAGGCTCTGCAGAAAGGGAAGGGACCTGACCTAGAGATGGAAGGACTCTCAACACTTCAAAACAGGCCAAACTAGGAATTCTGCTAATGTCATGAAATAGGTCAACTTGCAGTCAGGTCAGCCAGGCTCAATGCATACAGAGCTGTACATAATAACAAAACTCATTAATATCACAGTTTTACCACATACCTATAGTAAATTCACTTCTTTCCAAAACAAAGACAGCTCTATCTATCCTCTCAGAAATAATCTTCCAGTCCCACCAAAACCACCTCACATGGCTTGATATGCAGCTGTCAAGACTAACAGTATGATACATACTTTGGCATAATAAAAAATATATTTACATTACAGCCGACACTTTTATACGCTTAGTGTATACAAAATATTTATAAATGCAAATTTATTTACAACTGGAGTCCATCATTCATAGGAGAAAACAAGCCTCAATGTTAGACTGGTAAGAGATGCCTGCCAAAAGTCTAAGGAACAAAAAGCTGGCCAAGAGTTTTATGCTTACAATTACTGGGAATTCCATGAGGACGCCCTGAAAATTTGTTTTGAAGCAGACAATGCAGTGTGAAATAGCTGTGCATTCTTGAGCAATTTTCAAAGCATGCACCAACACAAAAGCTGCTCCCAACATCAGAAAATCCATGTTTGAACGCTACCCTTGGGGGTATCACTAATCATTCATGTGTTGTGCTGCACATTCCCATTTTCCAATATGCAGAAATCCAAGGAAAAAGTGCATGTGCCACCTCCTCCTAGGGATTCCAGCTGGGTTTAGTCAGCCTGTCATTGCAGACACGTGCACACGAGCATCTTTGGCCTTGGGGCTAGTCCTGAGGTAGTAAATACAAGAAGTCAGTCGATAGGGAGCTGCTCTCAAGACTTCATTTTAGGGTCTGACATGGTTTCACTGTAGTCATGGGCATTCCGTGCCCAGTGACAGTCACAGCTGTGCTCACGTGCCCCGTGGCAGGGCCGGGGTGACGCGGCAGGTTCCCCCGCGCTGCCCTCGCGCCGCGGCTGGTGCAGGAAGTGAGCGTGGGACAGACCGAGCTCTTTGCTCACCCCCCACAAAGGAAGATGAAAGGGTTCTAAGGGAGAAAAATGAGATGAACAGCAGTGAGTTCATGATAAACATCCAAATTCAAGCAGATTTCAGCTGTGCAACTCAGCAGTAACAGTCTTTTTGGGGTTATTTTCTGTTTCTGAGAGCACACTGATGGATGCTCTCCCGTTTCAGCATCTGCTACAATAACCAGGAACAACACAGGCAGTCTACCTGGAAGAAAGTCAGCATAAAGCCAATCCATTTACCAAAATAAAGAAATAAATATTATTTTAGAGTTCTTTCAAACTCAGGCCAGCTCAAACAGGTCTATTTGAACTTCCTATGTGAAGCTCTAACTCTTGGCTGACAAATGTGCTTGAAGACACACAAGGGATCACACTCCACAAACTCTAAGAGACAAGCTGCGGATTAAGAAGTAACATCTTTTAACATCACCCTCTTCAACTCTTGGGTACTGGATGCTAACTGAGGGGTAGTTCTGAGAACAGGCAGTTAATAAACAGATGAGCTACTCCACAAATTATGGTCACTTGAAGGATTATCTGTGCACCAACAGTGAAGGGCAGCACAAGAAAGGCCAGAGTTACCAGGGAATACAGAGCAATGGAAGGGAAAAGGTGACACTCACCATTCATCTGCTGGGAGGAGACTTTCTTTTCACTAATTTTGTCATGGTTGGTAAGGAAGACAGTCATGTCTCTGTCTGCTAACAGATTATCAAGAGTGCTGGTTTCATGCTGGGTGTGTGCTGTATACATTTCCTTAGGCATCTGCACCATGAGGTTAGGGAGAGTTGGATCCAGGGGATCCTCTTCTGAGACGTAGGCATAGGGACAGTACTCTCGTGTCCTCGAGTAGATGTTTGCATTGTCATAACAGTCTGAGCAGATCACCAGGGGTGCTGTGCCACCTGACAAACACCATGGAAAAACAAAATGCTCTCAAAGAGGATAAGGGTGCTTTATTTCCTTACACTGTTTCACGTGTAGCTCTTTCATGACCTCTTAGCATGGTCATGTGTTACAGTGGCGCAGGTTGAAGGGCCTCTATAGTTAGGGTGGTAACAGAGTACAAAGATCGACTGCAGAAATCACATGAGAAATACTCTGTGTTCACCACCACACTAGTGTTCTCACTAGCACTGCCCTTCTGAAACTGACCAGGGAGAAACCATGGACACAACCAAGAGTAATTTCATGTTTGCTCTCCTGATTCAAGGGCAAAGAGGTTCCATGAAGGTCCAGCCAGCATAGGCACCAGGCTGAAACAGCCCCCAAATCAAAGGGGGATACCTGTCCACGTTGGCTCTTGCACCCTGCAAGCCCCGTATCAGATGATCAAGAGGTCATCAAGATGAGTAGCTTCTCAACCCCTTCCTGATACAGACTCTAGTGTAACAGGACTACAGACAGGAGGGAATGGATCAAGGGACAGATGGGAAAAACTTACACTGAAAAATTGCTTTTGATCCAGCCTATGTAAAGACTGGATGGCTCCTCAGCATCTGGATGGTAAAACCAGCATCGATATAGCCTCAATGACAAATATCCTGAAAATCATCCAGACAAGGTAGGGAAACAGTGTACACCCTTCAGTTATGACTGCAGCAAGCAGACTGTATATCTGACAGAGGCAGTAATTTTATGCCAAGGACAAAAGGAACAGTAAGTCATCTTCCAGGCCAATTTCAGTTCCACCTTTATTACCTGGCCTCTTGAGACGGCAAAGGAAAGAAACAGTATAAAAATCTACCTTAACATTTAACCCAGGAATTTTCTAACAGTGTCCATGCCTTGCTGAGCAGGTCACAAACTCTGAAGCTCAAAGCTTCTGGAGAGAACTGTACTACTCTGACATCTGAAGAACAGCAGTCATGACATCTACTTGCAAAGGCATTCACAGCAGATGTGAGCTCAAATGTTGCTGGACCAAAGATTAAATGATATGCAGGGAATGCAGAAGTGTTGATAGCAGCACATAAACAAAGACCAGAAGAGACTCAAACTCAGAATGAACAATAGAAACTTTTGGATCAACCTGAATTCTTCTCCAGAAAAAGTTACCCCTGCTCAGTCACCAGGAACACACAGGAGGGCTTCACTTACCATCTGTGCCTTTATGCACGTAGCTGCTGGCTGGAGGCATCAGCTGCTGGTGGCTTCCTGCCTCTGAGCTGCTGTAGCCTTCTTGAGGCTCTGACAGAGTTCCTTGGGAGGACAGGTAGCTGGGAATGTCTGCAGGCAGGTTCATCTCCTCTGCAAGGTTGAATTAACATTCATGATGTTAAAAGCCAAGTGTGAAGATTTCACTGCCCACACTAATAAAAACATCACCCAGAATTTCAACTCACATGTAGTTTTCTTTTATCTGCCTCTGTGATTAAAAATCCAAAGACCTAGTTCAAAACTAACAGAGCCAGAAAGGAAATTGACCCACATTATTCTGGGTCCTGAAAAAATTTAAGTTTACTCAAATATTTCTTTCCAAACTTTACTGTTTTTCCTCAATGTAGAACACATCTAGTGTATAAGGATTTAAAAGGAACACACTCCTGATATTTAAAAAAAAATAAATTTCAGAAATTCAAGCAAATCCCTGAAGAGATTTTAGAAGGAAATCATCAGTTCTTCAGTCTTACAATCTGTAGCGAATGCAGAAATTTCAACACTCTCAACAAGTGTTTTGAATTCAAAACAGGCCTGAAGACTTTTACACTTTACCTGTGTTGGTGATGCTGTAATCCTCACTCTTCCTCCTCATGTGGTAGATGACAATGACCCACACCAGGGACGTTCCCACCACGCAGCACACCACCACGATGATCACGATGCCAACCGTTGTCCAGCCGTCCTCCTCGTGGATGATGCCGCTCTGAGAGGAGTCACAGTTTGGGGCAGCCAGGACGTGCAGGTAGATGTGGCCACGCTCAGTGCCCAGCGTGTTGGACATAATGCACGTGTACTTCCCAGCATCCTCTAGCCCAGCATCCACAATGATCAGGAGCTGGTTTGCTGCAGCAAAGAAGTGCCGCTCGGTGACTGCCAAGGGCCCGTCGTCCTTGGTCCAGTTGAGGCGCGGGGCAGGGCTGCCCCCGGCGATGCACTGCAGGACAGCGGTTTCGCCGCGGGTCACCGTCCTGTCCTCCAGGGGCCTCACAAAGGAAGGGGTTTCTGTCACAGTGGAGGAAAAAAGATATGTCTTGTAAGATGACTTCACTGTGCAACACCAGCATGTACTCTATGATATTTAAAAATCTGATCTTCCAATCTGAGCCTGAGCTTGAGCACTGGCACACAGGACAGGGGAAATCCTGCGGGTTCAGCTCTTTGGTGGGTCACTGCAGCAAATACAGGTACAGCAAACATCCCCAAAATTGTGCCATCCACAGTTTGCCTTAAGCATTTCAACTCTAAATTTGCATGTGACCACAGTGTTAGAAGTCTGAGTCTTCAAAAAATACTGCCCTCTAGAAGAAACTGCCCTTCCATTTTTACTCGGCACAATTCAGTTACCTGTGGCTACATTTGTTCCAAGGCAACACAAATTATCTGTTTAGTCCACACTGCTGGACTGAGCTATGTCCCTTGGCTCCTTCCTGCAAGGACCAGACTAACTCCACTGGCCAGCACTGTAGCTTGGCTTCTACAGCCTCACTGTGCACAGATCCTGTCATGTGCTGGTCTTTGTATTTTAACTTCACTGTTCAGGAGCTGAGCTTGCTGCTCAGAGACCAGTGACACCACCACTGCAGGAGCAAGGGGATCCAAGCACAGACCAGCACTTACCCAACACAGTCAGTGTGGCATTGGCTGACAACCCCCCTGCAATGTTTTGTGCCATACAGCTGTAGATTCCCATGTCTTCTATTTTCACATTTGCAATAAAGAACACATCATCCTCAGGCATGACATGCATCCTCCTCTCTCTCGCAGCAGGGAAGTCTGTGCCACCATCTTTCTGCCAGGAGATCTGAGGGGTAGGGTGGCCCTCTGCAGCACACTCCAGCCGGGCCATCGCCCCAGTGCGGATAGTGAGATCCATGGGGGTTTTCAGGAAGGAAGGTAGCTCTGGTTCCAAGGAGACATAGGTTCAGCATTTTCATACCAGGGAAAAAGCAGCAAAAGCTCAACAGTACACAGAATATCTGAAAACAAACCTGAAAGCCACCTGTAGTCTCCCTAAGAGAGGGGCAGATTCTTCTGAAGAACTGCACATATTTTATGTGGTAATTTCTAAGAGCCTGCCCTCCAAATTTAAACAGTATCTAAAATGTTCATTCAGATGATCCAAAGGACAGAATTTCCCATGGGGGAAAGAATTCAGCCTTCTTCATAAGCTTTTTGTCACACTTTTTGTTCCCTTGTAATAGGGAAGGTGAACTTCCATCTCATCAGTCCAAGGCTGCAGTATCTGTTCAGGACAAGAAGCAGCAGCACAAGCACATCTGTTCTCCAACACCATGGGGATCAGAAGACCCTGGAGACATGAGCACTGTCCTCTTACTTCCCTTCCTCCAGGCCAAGATAAACAGAATCATTATGGCTAAAAAAATAAGGACTCATGATTGAATTTTCAGTTTGTTTCTAGCCCAAGCTATTTTTAGCTGAATCTTCTCTGGCTTTACAAACACATGGGAAAGGTGCTTAGTTCTGAAGAGACAGCAGAGGGAGCTTTTAATTTAAGAGACTTCTAACTCCATTTAACTAGATGAACAACTGACAGTGTTAGGATGAAAGCCTGGGAGGTGTCTGCCCCCTTGGAAAAGTGAACTGAAAGCTTTTCAACCACAAAAACCCCCACAGTTCTCCCGATTTTTAAAAAGATGTTTGATAATTTTAAATACCAGTGAGACAGTCTTGCAAGACTATTTTGGGCCAGCTCTAGTGAAAAATAGACATAGCTATTTAAATAGAGTTTCAGGTTTGAAGTGTTTCTCCTTTGTCACCATGACTGCTTACCATTGACAGTCAGCTTGGCTTTGTTGGAATAATTGGAGCCAAAGTGATTGGTGATGATGCACTGGTACTTCCCTTCATCAGTGAAATTCACATTGAAAAGATGCAAGACAGTGGTATACTCGACCACCTCTCCACTTTGCTGCTGGTATCTGGCAAAGTTCTCCACCTCTGCATCATAGAGCACTTCACTGTCCTTGCGCCAGGCAGGAGACATGGGCGAGTCGCTGCTGCTGACAGCAGTGCAGGTCAGAGTCACATTCATGCCTCGAAGAGCGACTGTGGTCTCAGGATGCACCCTTATCTGTGGTTTTGGGAAATTATCTGAAAACAAAAAAAGCACCCAGATTAGTTACTTTCCTCCTCAACCAATAATTAATATTGCAAGAAAACTCACTCAAAATATAATGCAAGCAGAAAAAAAGCTTTGGGAACAGATGTCCTGCTTGAGGTGCACAGACTCAGCTCCTTTCAGCTGGAAATCAAGCCGTGAAAGAGGATTGCAACCACACACAGGCACACAGAACAAGCATTGACAACAACCAGCAGAGAAGCATGGTCCTGAGCAGGGCCCTACACTTTGTACAGCTGTCTGGAACTTGCTGTTTTTAGATCACACATGAAAGCTGTGCACTGCTGAAGAGTTAGGCTGCTTTATGAAGGACTGAGACTTCTTTTCAGACAGCTTAAGCATCTTGAAGAGCCTTTAAGTTTTACAAACACAAAGCACAGAAAGCTGGCAGTTCACTATCTCATCCCACTTGACAAGAGTTACTCCAGTACCTATCATTTCAGCACAGACTTTCTCATGGGCACACACAGTGTTCAGTGTCAGGCACCACGGGGGTAATGCTAGAGAGAAGTGGGTGCTTACGCCTACATGACAATTATTGTAGCCTTTACCACCAGAAGAATTGTGTACAAACTAGTAACACTTATCAGATTGCCCACCCAGAAAACGAAACACCAGACCATTCCCAGGCCTGCCAGACTCCACACGGCACTCTGGGCAAAGAGTCTCTCAGTTTTCCATCTCACAGTTCAGTTACAAAAATAAACAGGCTTATGTCTGAAACTGTGGAGGCAGAGACCAGAAAAACATTACAGATATGAGGCATCAGAAAACATGCCAGAGTATTAGCTACTCTAGCCTTGCTGGTCCAGAGAAGGACCAATAGGGAAGCGTCCAACAGCCCTTCCAAAGCTAAAGGTGTTCATGAGCAGAGACAATGGAAGCTTAATCAGTTTTTAACAGTAATGTCAATTAAAAACCATGCAGTCTCACAGAATTACTCCCTCAGGTTTGCTTCAGTGCTCAAATACAATGAAATGGAGCCAAAAGAAACAGGATTAGATTTGAAACTCCAAAGCAGACCCAGTGATGCACACAGGCCCACACCTGCTCCATGGCCCAGACCAAGTACCTGCAGGAGCGCTACAGCCTCACTCAGAAAGGTGTTTGCACTTGTGTTACTATGTTTTTGTATCAGAAGTCAGTAAAAATACAAACCACAGACAAAGTCACCAGGGTCCACACTGAGAAGGCTCTGTCCTGCCAACCATTCAGGGTGAGCACAGCTCAGGTCCACAGCCCCCTGCAGCTGGCTGTCAGCAAGCCACCGTGGCAGCCACTGCAGCTGGCAGTCACAGAGCAAGCTGCTGGTGTTCAAAATTCTGCAAAAACAAGGCAAAACACAAGTGTGATTAAAATTTATGTAGCTCACATTCCTACATGTGATTTCATGTTATTATAAAATATTAGGTATATATGCTATAAATAATCCAGAAATGTTCTATGTCGGTATCAAACCTTGCATTTCTTTTTTATTCTGAAAAAAATAACCTTGGAGTTTCAACTTCTTTACAACCTTCCCATCTCCTTTAAAGCAGTTAGAAGGAACATAACACTGTAGAGCCAGTCCTACAATGGCTGAAGGATACTTTACAAGGTAGGACTTGGAAAGAACCTTAAATAACTGTCATGAACTTACAACTCCTTCAGGTGAGCCTGGGCAAATGCATTTTCTTGGATGGACATTACTGCATTGTTGCTTAGATCTCTGTAAGTTAAGCAAAGAGAACAGTGGGTAAGTATGATTTCATAGGCTACTTCAGTTAAATTCTTGGCAATTTGACAGAGAATACAAGACTGAAGTTGACAAATAATTAGAAGTTCTACAAAGTAATGTACTTACAGATGTTCAAGTCCTTCAAGACCAGAGAATGCTTTTTTGGTAATTGACTTAATCTGGTTTCCTTGCAAGATCCTGAAAGACAAAGCCCCCCCAAGCCCAGAAACCAGTCTGAATGTCAATGAGCTCACAAAAAAGACCCAGAAGAAGCTTCCTATGATGTTTAACAAAGTTTTTCTAATTCTAGCTGAGCTAAGAGATCAAATACTACTCTTTGAGCTTAAAAACTCAAGTAATTTTCCCTAGAACAGGGTTTATTTTCCATTCTTAGAGATTTGGATTAGGGATGTGTTAGAAGACAATTTAAGTCAGCAGATGAAGCAGTGCTAAGTAGAACTTGGGAGTGGAGCAATAACTTCCTAATACCAATCTGCCACAACCACATTAGCTCCTGAGACTGCACCCTCACACCAAGCTATCTGTTATAACCAATGTCTGCAGCTCCACGGGATGAAGCTTCCTACCAAGCACATGGCACTGGGTGAAAAGTGCACAGTCTAAGCACTGAAAAGCTTAGTGTTTCATATTTGCTCAAAAGTATTTTCCTTGTGGGTTGCTGCTGTGTTGGGTTTTTTTAATAAGCAATAACTTCTACCTAAACTAAAGAAGCACAGTAAGTGACAATCATCACACAGCAGAAATAGGCTATTCAGTATTAAATGCAGTCAAATACTTTGGCTTAATTTCTTCAAAATAGAGCTGCAAGGTGATCCAGTCTCCTGAACATGGAAACCAAGCCAATATCAAGAGGTTGAAGCACATCAACTGGAACACACTGAATACAGCTGCCAACTAGAGAGGCTTTCTGCCTCATGTCACTGATCTACAGTTACTCAATACTTTGCACTCTCCTTCTACTCTGTGTGCCTGGGAAGTATTGTAATGTCAATGGTTTTCCACACATACAGTTTATCCAGCCTGCCGAGTCCCACAAATGCTTCATTTGCATCTTCTATGGCCCAGGAGATCTCGTTGTTCCGCAAATCCCTGCAGGAGAAGAGCTCTGTTATAGAGCAGCCTTGTAACGCCACCCTGACCACGGCTGGGAGCTTTCTGCTGCCCAGGCCTACTGCAGGGCTCTGCCACAGGGACACCTGCCAGGGCTCCAATCTTTCATAAAACTAAGCTTGTCAGAAGCTCCATTTCAGAGATGCAGGGGAAGACAGACTAGTTCAAGTGAGTGCCACAGACAGAACCTCAAACAAATTCTGAAGTACAATTTCTTGATGTGGTATTTAAGGAAAGACCCACCTTGACTTGCACTCCTCATGTGATGGACTATTTACCAGAAGCTGGGAGAGGCTCCTGAAGCAAGTTGGTTCATGTAAGTGAAATAACCAATACACTTGCAGCATTAATCTTCCTGAGTAACAGGCTTATAAAAGCATTAGCATATTAAGAGATTACACACAGGTTACTGGGTAAGGCTGCCAGGCACCAAGGAGCAGATTTTCAGAATGAAGTTGATATTCTGCTCACAGATCTTGTTACCAGCTAATGGGATTTCTCTTTGACCTCTGCACAGCACTTTGGCCCCTCACATAGAGAAGCAGCCTAAGCAGCAAAAGCAATATAGGAAAATGGTTCAGAGGATTAAATGCTTTTTAAAAAGAAGGTGAAATATATTCAGTTACATTTTTAGACTGAATGGCACAGACTGAGCAAAGAGCTTCAGTCAAAGCCGCAGTTTTCATCTGTTTTGATACAACTCTGCACAGAAGTCTCTGTGTTAATATACTTAATATGCAGACTTACAGTTTATTTGTTGAAGCTACATTATAGAATAGCTGCAAGAGTTGAACACACAGAGAAGTATTTACACCAGCCTTAGAACTGAAACAACCAGCACACAAGCAACAATGGAACAAATCCCACAGCAATGGCATCTCCTGTTGTTCGAAGTATTTTTACAGTCCACTGCTCAGACCACTCAGCAAAATGAGTGAGCAAGGCAAGAGAAAAGCCCCTCATTGTATGAGCTGAGGAGTTGGCTCCTCATGCTTGGCTGGGCACAAATGCCTGGAGCCTTGTTAATCAGCACTGCCCTCCTCCTGCACATTCCAGCCCCAAAACAAATGGCCAGCCCCTCAGCTGTTGACGCCCCCGAGGAGCCCAGGAAAACCTACTAATTAATCTGCTCTTGTTCTTTTTCATGCTACTCTAAATCTAAGAAATTAGTTTTAATTATTTCATTAAAAGGTTGCATTAAGGTTAACAGATTATGACTGCTTACATAAATCTTTCTGGTGAGTTTGCTTATTTAAGCATTTATTTAATGAACTGACAGAGGGGTTACAAACTTTCACTCCTTTCTCAACTACCATTGTTTGGGATGGTTACAAGTGTTCAGATCTACTTGGGACACTTTTTTTTTTTTTTCATTAAGAGCCTGGATTGAGTTTTTTCTTGTCAGAAATGTCAAACAGCTGCAGGGGAAGGTCCTGGCCAGAGCCGAGCCTCCCACAGCAAGCAGCAATCCTGCACTCCTCCCACCAGCACACCAGCAGGGTGGGCTCAACCCCACCTGCTGCAACCAAATGGATTCAACACGGTTTCCAGGGCTCCAACCCTAACAGGTTGGACCATTCTGTACACAGCTGGCATTTGTACAAGGTAACTATCCACACTTTCTCACACTGGTAGGACATGCCACTGGGCACTCAGGGTCACCAAGCCTCTGTTTCTTATCACCACTAAAATGAAGTGGTTGGTTTGTTTTAGTTGGGCCAGAATTGTTATCTCGGCAGACAACAGGATCAGCAGCCCTGCAGGCAGGACAGCACTTGGCAATGCCCAGCTCTGTTCACAGCCTGCACAGAGCACTATTCATTGCCTTTATTGCAAACAGCTTTGCTGCCTTAAATTGAGATCGTAACTAGAAGTTTTCTGTACTTACAAGGTTCGAAGATTCGTCAGACCTCTAAAAACTCCATCAGCAATGTGACTAATGTGATTGTCACCCAGGTTTAGCTTCTCCAGAAAACCAAGTCCCACAAAGGCAGACTCCTTGAGGCGAGTTAGCTGGTTGTATGACAAGTCTCTAGAAACATTGAACATGCACTTTAAAGGCAAGTAGAGAGGGATTACTGATGAAGAGGCTATTAACTATTGAGTCTTGATTAATTCCTCTAATGGAACACTTCAAAAATAAATAAAATACATAGCATTGCCACAGGCCTAACAAGGAAACAGAGAACTTCCTTTGGTTCTTCACTCCTGCTCCATACATGCCATCAAATCTGTTGTTGCAACATCACAAAATCCCCAGTGAAAAGCAGCCCAGGACTTACAGCTCAGAAAGTCTCTGGCAGAACTCCCATGCATCTGGACTGATCCTGCTAATGGCATTTTGGCTAACATAGAGTTGTTGCAGTGTCCGTAGACCGTACAGCCAGCCCTTGTTTACTTCTGTTAAGTTATTATGTTCCAGTTCTCTGAGGAATCAGAAGGAAAAACGTTTGCCAAACAGATAATCACTGAAGCACATATTTACAAAATTTCACCTTGTGGATCTCAAGATTATTTACTAACATTAAGATTCAGACAATCTGAAATGTACAATTATATTCATTCCACTGAAACCAAAAGAGTGAACAGAAGCATATGAAGAACTGAGCAACTCAACAACAGCTGCAGTATTCAGTGGCTGAAGCAAAACTGTCAACTCTGTTCTCAAACATTATTTATTTTTTTTTAAATCTTTTGTTAACATTGCATGGCACAACCCTGCACTCTCTCTATCAGTCACACAACAAAGAACTATCCCACATTATGGGAAGTACAAATGAAAACCAGCAAAAAGCAACCTACAGAGTCAAAGCATTCTTCGTCCCCAAGAGGGAAGAAGCTGGGGGGAGAGCTGCTATCTTCCCACCTCTGAAGTAACCAGACACAATACCAAAATCCCATAAAGTCTTCCTGAGATGCTCACTGATAGCTCAGCATGGCCTTGGTGTAAAGAAAGCCATAAAGGACACAACCCTCCACAGCTGAAGTCCCTAAAAGGAATTCCACAATTAGGCATACTCACAATTCTTCTATATTACCCAGGCCAAAGAATGCTCCATCCATTAGTCTGCTAATCCCATTGCGCTGCATTTTCAAGGATTTTAAGGATTCCAGTCCTTGGAATGTAAGACTTTCCACTATTTTAATCCGGTTCCTTTTCAGTTCCCTTATGCAAAGACAACATTCAAATATTAAGACATCTTTTGATGAGCACCACTTTGTGAAAGTCAAGAGCACAAGCTGAGATAAACATCACAGAACTAAACATTTTTTTTTTAAGCTTTCAAGACCACTACTTACAGGAACTGCACATGAGGCAACTTGAAGATCTTTGGTGGAATCACACTAATCCTGTTTCTGTTCAGCTTTACCACCATCAGCGAGCTGGATAAGTTATCAAGACAGCCTGCTTCTAGGGTAGTTATTCTGTTGTTACTCAGATTCCTAGGGAAGGAAGAAGCAGCATTTCAGAACATGAAGAACTGTATGGACTCAACTGCACAAGCACTTCAGAGTGACCACTTTTTATTAAAACTCAAGTTCTTTGTGAAATGGTGTCAGAATCTGAATGCTGGTGTAACAAACTAAATCACTGTTCCCAAAGGAATCAGCACTAGAAGCTGCCCATGCTGCAGTCAGACATGGTCAATTCCATGTCAACAGTGATTTACTCAAAATGGGCAGAAATAATTAAATGTCCCTGCTGGCTGAAGTTCCTGCACTTTGAGAATGACAGTTACTGTTCTCCACACTATCTGACAAAGCACAATACAGATTGGTATTAGAAGTATTTTATTTCAAGCAATTTCTAGCTATATTGCCAGTTCAAAGCCACCAAAGGCTGCCTACTTTAAGGCAGTAACTTGGAGTAGAAGAGGTCTCCAACATGACTGTTGTAGAGCCAGTCATCCCAGGCATAACTGATCACTCATACTTACAGGTATTTCAATTGCATCCGTGGAAAAGAAGAAGCTTTGATTTCTGAGATAAGATTAGAACTAAGATCTAGATTTTCCAGTGAAAGGTAAACTTGGAGCTGCTCAGCATTTATTTCTGGGATGGTATTGTGTACCCTGAAAAATACCAACGAAAATATGATTAACAAAACATGCCAATCTTCAACTTGCACAGCTGAGGCAGCTACAGGGCTCTGTAGATCAACAGGATTAGCAGATCCCTTACACAGGACACGTAGCACACTCTTCAGTGTTAATTCCTAATGCAACACTGAAAATCCAAGAGCTATTTGCCACCTTGAGATATGAATAGATTCAAATTCTGGGGCCTGTAGTCAGGCTGTTTCTTGTGGGAACTGTCACTCCTAGACTGAATCCCCTCCCCTTCAAAGCTGCCTGCCTTGGTTGACTGCATTTTATTGGTAATTTAGGATGACTTGATTGTCTGACTGATTTGTATTTCTTTAAAGAGTGCTTACATATTCCCTAAAGCACTTCAGATGAGCAGTATTTCAAGACAAAAGAAGCTCTCTTGTCCTACAGCTCGATAGGAGAACTCTAATACAATTATCTTATTTGTTAAATGAAAAAAAGGCAGATAAAATATTACTTACAGGGAGAGAAGAGTTATGTTAGAAGTTGTTTCTCCGAAATATGGAATTTCACTTAGCTCATTGTAATTCATTTTCCTTAAAAAAAAATATCAAACCAAACCAAAAAGATTAGTGGCACTTGAAAGAGAAGAAAACTTCTTCTGTACTGAGCAGAAATAACTTCTATAGCAGAACAATTTAGTCATACTAATAATACTTAGCACTTAACAGAAAAGATCCTCCAAAAGCTTAAATACTGATAGTTTGAAAAATTTAATATGAAATATGCTAGGCTTTACTGTTCTCATGGATGTTATTTATTTCTCTTTAACTTAGAATCAGCCATAGTCAAAACAAACACCCAATTTCTTTAAAAATATTGGTCTTCTAACCTTTTGTGAAAAAGTTTTCTTCTCACAAAGCATCAGTTTTATACCTAAAATGTGCTGCCAACATACGGCATCCATTTTTCATTAACTGACACTGAGTATTTCTACAGCTCAGACCAGATATCTAGACATGCAATTAAATGTACTATTTAATTAGAATTAAATACAAAATCTTTAGAGTTCATCCTCATAAAAAACAACTTACACTTCTTGTAGTGTATGAACAGACAAATCAATGCTCCAGTTGGATGACAATAAATGATTGTGACTTAAATCCCTAGACAACAAAGAGAAAAGTTATTCTAGATCCTGGAGTTAAAAACTGCACACGTACTCTTCATGCAACCTAAAGTTCTAAAACACAGTTTTGATATATACAGTTCCTCCCTCCTCAAAGGAAGAGGTTTTGGCTTGTTCTAGTGGTCACTCACAACAGAAATCTAGACAGTTCTGTTTCTCTGTTTGAATTAAGTAACTTTTTGTTAAAAAGGTTTCTTGAAACAAGGATAGTCTCTGATCAGAACACATTTCCTTTCAATCAAAGCTTCACCTACAGTGCTTCCCTATTGCAAAAAAATAACTTCCCAGGGACATGACAATAATTCCTCACAAAATGCCTGTTACTGAGCTGATCCCCATTCTCTCAGCCTGCCCAGCTTTTCAAAGAAGCTGACTAGTCAAGACAGGCTTATTTTAAGGGAACAACAAACACACAATTACCAAACAAGCTGGAGGGAAGAGAAACATGAAGCTGAGAAGCTTATAGAAGGCTTCAGTGCCAGCTGGTTTTGCTTACAGGAAACAAATGCAGGAGTTGGATCATTTCAATGGGCAGGAGAGTTGTTAAATTTGTTTTTAATGCCCATGCTGGGTGTTGATGCTATTCCCATTGCTTTAACTGTAAAGCAGGATTTTACTTTTGCCTTGTACCTGGTTTTGTTCACCCCAGTGCTCAGGGCACTACCAGTACACTTTTGGCCTGCAAGACCAGAACCTACCAGGAGAGAGCAAGGCCTTGACAGCCTGTCCTTAACTCAGGCTCAGCAATAAAGATACAGTTCTAGCAAGGAGCTGTTGAAGTCCTGGTGTCCTGGCAATTCAGACAGTTGTTAATATGTGCTTTTAATGCCATCAAGATGTGAACTACGTAGACAGAGTAAGCATCAAAGGATGCTGAGACCTACAGCCAGATCTCACTGGCAGAGACCCCCAGAGGTCCCACTGCCAGGACCCCTCCTGCCCATGGGAGCCATTGGACATGCTGAGTGGAAGGGGCAGCACTGATCCCACATTCCAGAGGAAGAGTCCTTCCTGGATCTTTCGAACACCAAGTGCCCAGCCAGGGCTGGCAAGACTCATCTGGGCAGCAGTGGGTTTAACCAGAGCAGGGAGCACCCAGTCACACTGCTTCCAATGGACCTGAGCACAACCCAAGGAGGAGACAATGGACACATGATAACACCACACTCCTCATGGTGCTCAGATACCAAACTGGTGGGCAGAGCCATGCCACGGGTGCAGAGCCAGACCAACCTGTGTGTCAGGGCTCTGACAAAGATCTCAGGAGTCAGATTAATATGCAAAGAAAACAGAAACTTGATTTCATTCTAAGGCTTTCAGGAAGAGTATAACAGAATATAGAGTACTTCAGTCAGAAGGGACCTACAATGATTGTCTAGTCCAAATGCCTGACCATGTCAGGGCTGACCAAAAGTTAAGGCAAATTATTAAGGGCATTGTCCAAATGCCTCTTAAACACTGACAGGCTTGGGGCCTGGGTGAGGAGGAACTGCCAACACTTGGGTGTCCCACCAAAAGCCTGCTGTCTCATGACTGAGAAATTTAATTTTGAAGGCCTGGAAAAGTATTTTGCTGTTATTATTCAGATGTAGAATATAACAAAGCTTGCATTGACAATGAGTCCGTCTTCAAGAACTTGGGTATAGCTAATAACTTAAAACAGTTCTGACATCATTTACATCTAGATACTCTTGTTGATGCTTTTCTTTTTGAAACAGACTGACTGACCACTAAATAAAAAGTGAAATACATTGTCTGATTTTCTGTGTTTATAGAACATTCAATGACACAGCTATGATTTCTACTCTCATGCAGAACCAGATAGAATTGCCTTGATCTGAAAAAGCCAAAACTAAATAACCTGTAATTTTATAAGCACTTGCATTTTGACTGGGAGGCCCATGTTATGCAAGATACTGAGCAAACATGCAAAATTTCTATTTTGGAGATTCATCTGGTATTGTATATAAAAACATCTAAACATTCATTTTGAGCTGAAGTAGTATTCATCTCTTGAGTAAATAAAACAGAACACACACACCAAATTGATTAGTGTACACTTGGTCCTAGAGAAGGATCTTAATTCAGCCCAAAGGAGCATCCCCACTCCCTCCCCACAGCCTGGTGCCGGTAAAGGTGGGGAGGCAGCAGTGCAGCCAGCCATGTGAGCTCCCCAAAAATCCCACTGTGAATGAACCTAGCTGGACCAATTAACTGATACCTACTTTTTTTATTCTTCGTCTCCCTAGTCACCAGGATCTATGAGCACAATTTCAGGCACCAGTACAGGAGTGAAAGGCAGTGGCCATCAGCATCCTGCTTCCCCTTTCCCCTACAGATGACTGCCCCACCAGCAGGGCTGGTATTCCTTCTTCTAAATCACGTAATGTTGAGATGAAGATATATTAAAAAAATATTTGCTAACTCTGACTTCCCTATCCTTTTCATCACCTGCCAGGTTATCTGCAAAACATATGTAATTTAGCAGCAAACATCAAGTTACAGTTGCCTAAATACTTCTGTAATGAAAAAGTTCTGAAGATGCTCTCCTGGCCTTATTAAAAACAAAACACCAAAACAAACACCAAAACTCCCCAGAGTGGAAGTATCACCTGCAAGGAGTTTGAAAAGAGTTAAAATAAGCAAGAAGTGTTAGTCCTCAAAGTTAGGTGAAGTGATCCCACAGAACTGAGAGGGCAAAGCACATCAGGGACTTTCTCGTGTGAGAAAAAAAAAAAAAGCAAAAAAAAAGCTTTGATTAACTTTAAACAGCTTGTGTGCATTATAGCTCATTTAGACTGAGAAATGCTAGTTCCCCTAGCAAAGAAAAAATGTCACCCCCCACAGACACACAGTGTGCCAAAATCCTGAAAGCCACAACAGAGAACACACACTTAATTATTGTTTGCAGCATGTGTCAGGTTGCACAGCACAGCGCCAGGACCGCTGCTTCCCACTGCACTTCGTTCCAGGCAGCTCTAAACACACCCTCTGCCAGCATGGAGAGGGATACAACTGTTTGTTGAAGCTTGAAAACTTGCCCCCCCGATACCACGGATATCATCTTATCAGCCACCTGATGAGCTCCCAACACACCGACACACGTGCCTTTCTAAGTGGGAAAGGTTTGACAGACAAGTTGGTTGTATTTCTGCTGAAATACACATTTTCCCTTAAACATTCCCAACTGCTTACCAGGCAGGGAAGGAAGAGAACTACAGAACCAAGAAGGGGAAAGGAGGTGACAGACAAGCATCCTTAGACATGCCCAGTTTTTAATACAGATCAGACTCCCGACTCCTGCTAGAGGAATTCCTGGAGTTAACTGAGCAGTGGTTTGTATATTTACACTATTTCCTAAACAGGCTTTTTTCTTGGTCTGGAATACTGTTACTTCTACCAACCAGGAAACACAATAATTCCAGGAGAACCTGAGAAGCCCTTTGCACACTAAAGTGTTTTTTGATACCACTCAACTTCAGCACCTCTTCCACCCCTACACCCTGCAGCCAAAGGTGACAAAGACAGAGGTGATGGCTGAGAAGGATACAGGTGCTCAGCACTCGACCCCCTGTGAACACTATTTAGCATGTTGTCTAATTACACTCCTGGGGACCAAGGGTGGCTCTTGGTTGTTTTCTGGGTTTTTGAAAAACAACGGCAGCAACTGTCAAGGGGACCCCACAAAGGTTTTCCTGAGGGAAAAGGAGGGAGTCGTTGAGCTGCAAAGGCACAAAGAGACGAAGACGAAATCAGCATCAGCAGG